ATTAGGGAATTTTTCTGATGGGGAGGGGGGAGGGGTAGTCTGCTGAAATCAATCCATTGAAGTCTGTAACTCTTTATCTCCTAGGCATGACTACATGCAACATAAATCCATGTGTCCTAGCTTAACCACAAGATGAACCTTATTCAAAGTTGGTTATTAACCCCCCACCCCCCACTCAAAAAAGGAAAGAAAGAATTTAAAAAAAAAAATATATGAATTTTCTCTTTCTTTTTCCCCCTAAAATTTCATAACCTTACAGCTTTGTCTGAAGGTATAATTATGGTGACATGATAATTGATCAACATATGACAAGTGATTTTACATTTAACTGAAATCTAACCAAATCATGGTGATTGAGGGTAACAAAGAAAAGCAAGGGAAAAACACAATGCAGTTTTAACTACTTTAGAAACTCCAAATATGGACAAAAGTGGTTTCTAAATGTAGAAAGGTCCTAATAACCACTCCTGAGAACAGCTGTATAATGAAAAACAGCCAAGTCATTAAAGAAGCCTACTCCTCTAAACAAGTTAACTCTGTGACTGAAAATGTGACATATTACATGTATAATGGTACCAGTTGATTCCTTGTGCTCCCTTTCTGCATTTAAAGAAAATATTTATAATTCTCTAATTAGAACAATATTTTTAATTCACTTGGCCTCCAGAAATAGATCTGATGATGGCTAGGAACCCAAATCTTACCATTTCTCTCTCAATGATTTACATGTACTAACTTTATACCGAAGACTAACACAAGCACTGAGTGAAGCTCTCCTCTAGGGAGAGGATTCCATTTTACAACAACTCATTAAACTGTATCCTTCTTGTCATGAATCAGTAACCAAGCTGACTCCGTGCATGTGTCTGTGAGGAAACTGACCACATCATATCAGTAAGTGGATGAGAAGGTGGTCAAGTGGACACTTTTCCCCAAACATTTCCTCCAACATTAATTTGTGATTTACTCTATAACCCCCCCCCCCCTCTCCTTCTGATGATGACTTTTCTGTACCTGAGAAGTCCCATATACATGTCAGGACAGACTCGACCTGTCCTAAGCAATCAGTCCACTGGTTTGCACCATCTCTCACCTGGCTTCTGTTACCTGTACTTACCTGTATATACCTGTGTGTAGGTGAGACCAGCATTAGCAGGTGGTGACAATCTGTCTGCTGAGAAGATTTTGGGTCAAAATTTTCATATTCATTACCTTTGTTTTTCCAATTTGTATGCTTAAATTTACATTTCAATTTGACATTAAGTATCTTAAATTGTAGATTAATTGGATTTGTTTAACATTTAGAATTTGGTCATTTTGTTTGCGATTCTTAGATTGACAAAAAGAAGTCCAACATTCTAAATCAAATGTGGGAATTTTTAAAAATTCAAACTTAAATTAGTCATGTTTCAATGCATAAAGTGCATGCATGCTGAATAATTTAAAAACCAGTTTTTCTTCTGTAACCTTTAATTAGCTCACCTGGGATAAAATCTGAATTTTGCTTTTTTTTTTTTTTTTTTTTTTTTTTTTTTTTTAAATTTTCCAATTGGATCTGACGTTTATTTATAAGGTGCAAAGAATAACATGGCTACCTAATTGTCAACATCTAAATAAATGTAGTGTTGTTCCAGCTATGGTGAAATATGACAAGACTACAGGCTCCCAAAATTACTGCAGGGACATTCAGGTAAGTATTATTTCCCAAGGGTCTCTTAAAGAGAAAAAAAAAACAAAAAATCATATACTAAAGAATATGATTAGATCCATAGAGCACATTTATTATTTACAGAATGAGGGCCGTATCGAATAGAAAAAATAGAATTGAAGAGATGTTTAACAAATAAAAGGCCTCATAAAAAAAACCTCCCCACAACAACAACATTACTATTGTTGAAGAAACCCTCTGAATGCTGGTATCATATTTAAGTAAAACCTTAGAAAAACAGTATCATTTACACCCTACATATCCTAACCTTGTCAAACAACTAGCAAGCCTAAAACAGCTTTGGCAACAATAGAAGAGTTTATATTTCTACAGGTTAAACTTAAATTCATGATTTTTAATAAAATCGTATTAAAAACATCTGTGTTCATGCCTCAAGTGATGTTACATTTTATTGTCCCAATCTGTTTCCAATATTTTAGGGGTAAAAAAGATGATTCATGGAGATATAAGCTATCAAACATATTGCATGCCTTGGGTCAATAATTCTAGAAAAGCCTAAGACTTGGGTTAACTATACCTTCCAATATGTCTCCCCTCCACGTTCTCCGTTCCCCTCCATTATGTCTGCATGCTGATTCACTTTGTGTTAGAACTTGACTGCATGCAGTCCTGATTACATCTATTTGTGTTTACTCTCTCAAATTCCCCCCAATATCATCACGTACCCTCAAATGCCATCATCTTACCTTTTGTTTGGGTGTACTTTGTGTTAATTATTTTGAAACCTAAACTGCTATATTATGTAGCTGTGATGTGGACACCCACAAATACTTCAATTCTTAAACAACAAAAGATTTTCGTTGGAGTAGCAAATAAAAAAGATGATCTAGCCCTGCAAACACTACTGTGAGTCACAAACATCAGCGAGACATTTCGTCATCACCACAGCTTCCTCTGTTGGCATCACAAAGATAACGTCAAAGAAAAGACAGCTTCGTTACCATTATAAAATTCTACGTATAAAGGTAGAGTGACTTCCCTTTACCAATATTTAAAGAAATTTGCGGTTTGAATTTTTTTGTGGAAATTTTGTTTGTATAACAAGCATTTTAAGCTTCAATGCAGCCCCCAGACCCCCTGCCTTCTACTGCCCCCACCCCCACCCCCCGCCCGTTATGAAACTCCTGGATCCACCACTGCTACTAATCAGGAAATCACTGTTGACTAATGCTAAGGAGGGGAGAAATAGTTAAAAAAAATACTGATAAACCCCTGCTATACATGACATATACCATGGTTGTTTGATAGTGAGCACAACTGCTCCACCTGACATATTCTACTTGCATCTTGCAAGATGCAAATTCTGTAGCAAAAAGCATTCTTACACTGTTATGTGTCAAGAAAACAAAAAAATGGAATTTAAAATGAATGCATTATCCTTGTGGGTGAGGGAGTGCTTTATACAATTTTGAATGAGTCATGGCAATTAATTCTATGCTATAAAATTATTTGTTAATAAAAAAAAATAACTCCAATATCAAAACCTGTTTGTGATGTTTTAAAACTTTGATAAAAATATTCACTTAATATAATACCCACAAAACTTGATTATTCTATTTAATGTTAATGCATTTCCAACAATTTATTTCATGAAAAATAAAAAAATAAATTGTAACATTACCCATTTTTTTTAGTTTTCTGTGATTTACTGGCAAAGAAACCTAATAATAGTCTGCACTTCACTAGATTTGACTGCAAATTAAGCAATAAAAAGTTTGAAGGTAATAATTCTGTAATGCCATTTCTTTTTTTAAAAATGACTTCGCATTCCCTGGTGTCAATAAATATTTAATGTATTTTTAAAAGACTGCAAAGGATTATATTCTCTAATGAAAAAAGTGAAGATAACAAAAAGTGATTGATCTCAAACGATCTACAAACAACACAAATCTGTGAAGCAGACCCCAGGAAGTTCCAGAGGTGGGATCAGGTGCCTAGGAGGAGTAAGCATCCCCTGTTGATCAGTCACACCTGCCGTGAGACCCATGTATTGATCAGGTAGACCAATATCTGCCCCCAAAATCAAAGTTTGATGCAGAAATCTACAATTACGTTCTAAACCAGGGGGATATCTACAGACTTGGGAGCATTACCAATTTTCATCAACCAAGACACCATATGTTAGATATGATGTCAAGAAAATGATGCAATTGCCGATAATCTACTTCCAAACTATAGTAATTTTTGTTCATTCAGATTTTTCATGCAATATATACAATTGTGTATATTTCTATAGATTTTCAAAATTTAACTTTTATGAGGGCACAAAAAAGCTTTTATCATATATTGTCGTTTAGAAAACAATATAAATGTCAAATTGATCACAAATGTAGATATTTTTTACTTTTTACTTTTTTTTTTTGGCAGTTTAATGTTTGATTATGAGTCATCACACATGGAATGCACAAGCATTTTGAAAACTTAAACCAAAGAATTTGTCATGAAACATGCATTTGCTAAAAATGAAAAATCTTAAAATAAATCCCTTTTCATAGGAAATACAAGTTTTCTGCACCCTTGTTCAAACTCAGACATTAATGCTCATGTAAGGGGAGTAGCCAACTCTTTACCAACTTTAATACCTTATTTTTGTCTGCAGAAGAAAACAGGCCAACAGCTATCAAATTTTGTTAAATCCCTTTTGTTTGCAATGAGCCTTCATGTGGGAAGATTTTCTTATGAAATTAAAAACCATTCCCATGACATATTTTAATGAGTTGAATACTGCAAAACATATTTTCATGACCTTTGAAAGGCTATGACACAACAGAAAATTGCCAAAATATGGAAGATTTTATCATTTCCAAAAAATGAGTATTTTGAAATTGAGAATTCTAACAACAGAGGGCACTGCTTATAAGAATGAGAGGGAGAAATCATGGTTTCTCAGTAATTCATTTGTTATAAAGGTCATTACTATGCAGAGTGTCATTATACCAATAAAGTGCAAACACATACACATAAAAAACAACCCAAGAGGTTAGCTTGACAATTTGTAAGAAATCTAGAGAGGAGACATCTTCTATTACACCTGTGCCACCTAGTGCCATATCTGAATCCATGGACAGACTTCCTGGCTACCAAACAAGAAATCAAAAAACAAAACAAAAATGAAAAATGTTCCTAGCTGACAGACATGATGTAATCCAAGAGGCCTTGATCTAGGGATTTCTTTGGAACTTCAGTGAAAGAGTCTAACATACAAGACTTACAAGAAGAAAACAAAGGAGAATTTTTATTTAAGGATTCTGTAGAAAGAGTTTATACTCACTGCTTTCTCCTTCTCTGTGCTTAAATCCTCTGTTTGGGTCATTAGAGAGATGGTTTCCTGCGGGTCAGTCTGAATAGCTTGCTCCCCATTTAGGGGCTCTATCAGTTGATTAGCCTCCTCTGTTTGGGTCATTAGAGAGATGGCCTCCTGCGGGTCAGTCTGAATGGCTTGCTCCACATTTATGGGCTCTATTGGTCGATTAGCCTCCTCTGTTTGGGTCATTAGAGAGATGGTTTCCTGTAGGTCAGTCTGAATGGCTTGCTCTACATTCATGGGCTCTTTTGATTGATTAGCCTCCTCTGTTTGGGTCATTAGGGAGATGTTTTCCTGTGGGTCAGCCTGAATGGCTTTCTCTAGGATTATGGGCTCTATCAGTTGATTAGCCTCCTCTGTTTGGGTCATTAGAGAGCTGTTTTCCTGCGGGTCAGTCTGACTGGCCTGCTCTAGGTTTGTGGGCTCTATCAGTTGATTAACCTCCTCTGGATCTTCTTCCTTTTTAGGAGAATCCCCTGCTTCGTTGACTGTTGGGCTTTCTGACATTGTTTGGACTGAGCTCTCTGTTCTCTCTGGGTGTGAGACAGAGGTCTCCTTATCAAAAACCTCTGTCTTGTTTTCTAAACTGTCTGTATCTGTTTCCTTATGTTCACACTCCACTCTGTAGTCTGCTGTTTGAGTGTGTACAGATTCTACTTGTTGTGAATTGGTTTCACTGCTCTGGTCTTGTGATTCTTTTGGCACTGTTTGTGTTGATGAAGTATCCATCTCTTTGTCCACAGTTTGTACAGACTGATCATTGTCATTTAATTTTCTTTCTACTTTTGAGATTTCCTTGCTCACAGATTCAGCATTTCCTCCCGATACCTCGGTGATAGTTTCTCCTAATGGCTGCATATCACTACTAGCAGCACTCTCTGATGAGTGCTCTGTTTTGTCACACTCTTTAAGACTCTTAAGATCAGTATTTGTCACTGGTTCAGTTTTACTAGCTGGGGTCTCTACTTGGATATTTTCATCACAAGAACCTTTATCTACCGGGTCTCCTAGTCTCTGATCTTCACCTGTGTTTACCTGGACACATTCTGCTGTGTGGTCCCCCTCCTCAGCATTGCTTTGTCTATTCCCAGTATTTTCAGATTCCAATAACATGTTTACTTCAATTTCAGTTTCCTTTTTAGATTCATTTATTGATTCTTGTATGCCTTGTGCACTTTCAGTGTCATTGTGTTTATTGTCATCAGAGTTTGTGGCCGCTGGTTTGTACATATTGCTGTCTAGAAGGTGTGAGGTTTCACTGGATGCTGCAGACGGCTCCACTATTTCAGTACTGTCAACACCAGAACCATTCTCACAATTGTCTTTGAGAACATTTTCATTCACTTTTGATTGATTAACATCACTTTCATCATTTTCTGAGTTTATTTGAGAATCCTTGGATATTACGGTCTGTTCTCTTTCTTCATTTTCTGGCTCATTATATTCAAAAGTTCTCTCATCAGGGCCACCCCTCTCTGTTGAAGCCAAACTTAACGTCTTGTCCTCCTCAGCATACACTGAATCACGGAGGTGTTTGTCTTCACACTTTTCATCTGTAACATCATCTACTGGTTCTGTTGTAATATCGTCATCACTAGTCTCTTGTGAAGAACCATTCCTATCTTCACTCTCTGTGGAGTTGGCGGCTCTTACCATCTCGTCAGGGCTATGACTCTCCTTTGTTGTTTCCACATTTGCGTTTTCTTTGCGCTCGTCTGACAGATCTTTCTTGTTTAATGTCAAACCATTGTCTTCATCATCCTCTTGTAATTTTTTAGTGTTGTCAACTTGACGTTTACCATTTTCACTTGGGGTTTTGAGATTATCAGGTTCATTTGCACTTTCTTCATGTAGTTCTTCAATGTCTTCCTCTGTCTTCTCTAAATAGGTGTCCATTTCTTCACATTTAAATTGAGATGAATGTTCCCGTCTGTCTTCAATGTTGTCATCCTGTACATCAGCTGTTGTCTCTGGAGAGTTTGTTGTCTGGTTTTTGTTGTTCATCGTATCCTTTTCTTTGATCTCTTCTTCACCAATATCACTGTGATCACAGCTGTCACTGTTCTCTTTGTTTTCACCTTTAAGTTTGCCGGAATCTTTGTTTATTTCTTGGCTTTCACACTCAATGTCCGAGTCTTCTGAGATGTGAAGTTCACAGTTTTCTTCTGTCAGGCACAGCTCCACTTCACTGTTTTCATGGCTCATGTGAGAATTGTCATTTAGTTTGGGATTTTCATTTTCTGATATGTTTCTATTGACAAATGACATGGTATTTCCATTACACTGTTTGGATAAATTTTCATTAACGTCAACATCATTGGCTAATTTTTCCTTGTCAACAATTTTGTCCTCCATGTTACTTTCAGTGTTAGATTCCATTTTATCCACAATTTGCATTATCTACCTACAATTATAAAACAATGCATTTATAATTGAATTAATATACCACCCAAGTTATCATCTTCTTTTCTAAATGAGGCATGTCTACTTTTGTTCTGTGCACAAAACCTTAGGAGTTCAGACCAAATGGCAATGCTTAGTGATGATTACACATAGTCATAAAATAACATTTCTTATTAGTTCACATAATTACCACATAATTTTATTACTTGTATGAACATAATGGTAAATAAATGGCCTGGTAATGTCCACATAGTGTATTCGTCCCAAATGTTGTCCCCTCAGATCTCATAAAAATGATATACTACTCCATTCTCACAAGCCATCAACATCTAAGGCCCTAACAAGATTTAGGATCTCCAGAATTATCAAAAACACAGAGTCACTAAACCCAGATACACAATTCCGTTCAGTAAAAACACCAAGAACTGGGACTTCTTCCTTTAGCTCCTTCTTCTTGACTAGACACAATTCTATGGAGAGTCACACACTATAATTAACATTCCATGTATTTAACGATCAACCCAGAATTCAACACCTTGCTTTCTTGTCATTATGTGTACGTACCCTGCCATTTCTTTTGTCAGATGGATAACCTGTACCCACAAGGTAGATACTAACTTCATGAATACACATTAAGGCAGGTGTTAAAATCTAACATGGCTAGGAGATGTAATAAAATGTACAGGTATTCTTATTTGATTTTGTCCTCATTAATTTCTTGTTTTTAGACAAGCAAAACATCTAGGCCACGCATGTCCATAAATCAATAAATGTCAATTCTGATCTGGGATTCTTAGGTTTTCAGGGCAAATAAAATTTTGAAACAGAGATATTTTTTTTATTTTTGTTTTGATCTGCGCAATAATGTCCAATTTGAAGACCAAAGCACTACCAAGCATCATGGAGTACAATGTCACTTTTACTGAGACAAGTGACTCCTTTCATAAAAATGTGTCTGTATTTTTTGTACAATTTCCTGCACTATTAGTGGATACCATTCACTAACTGTGTCTAAGACCTCTAGAAGAAGGCTCCAGTACAGTTTGGTGTGTGTCAAGCTATTACTTTACATCGTATTTTTAGATCTCACTAAAAAGAAATGTGCGCGTCCTCAAAGTATTCATGCATATGGCTTGAGGGTAAAACATAAATGTAGTACAGAATAGCTCGCACCAATGCAAGTCCAATATTATTACTGCATTAATTAAAGTTTTAGTCATGAATATGTGCATTACAGAAAAGACATTATCTTCAGACTTAAATTACTACTGTAACTGTAATTAATTTCAACAAAAATTTAAAATGGCCAAAAATGTGTTGTTGTTTTTTTTTCTCCCTAAATCAAAGAAATGAACAAATGAGAAGATAAAAAAATGCACTATTTAAAAATGGTCATGTATTTACAAATTAAAAAGGTACATACCAACATTGATTTTAAATCACACAGACAAAACTTCCTTTTACAGAACTATACATCCCCGTCATAAATCTGTGTTTACATCCTATTTATAATGACATCCTAATTTTGGAAAATATGCCATCGTAAAACTGGCTGCTCACAACAAAGGAGATGAGTGCAATTCTTCAAATGCAATTAAATGACTCATTCTTCAATACTTTGAATTCATTTTTCAAAAGAAATGATGCATTTGTGTGCAAGAACAATTCTAAGATAATCTCAGAGAGATAAAACTATTATTCATTTAACCTGTTAAAGAAAGGACGGTTTTTAGTCATTGTATATAGAATTTACCTCATCATGCTTAAAGAGACCAAAAACAAACTTAAGAATCCTTTGAAATCGATGTCACACAGGCAGTCAGTTCACTTAGCTCCACCACACATCTAAGCCACCATTGTATTGACAAAATTTATCTGATTCCAGAGTGAACTCCTTATAAGTCACCGATAGGTATCACACTGATTGAAAAGTCACATCTCAAAAGATCCGACAATCACATAAAATATAAAAAAAATCCAATCCACGATACATCGCAAAACACTAAACCTTGTCAGTGGAAATAGCAATAGCTGGCAGAGCCTTACCTGGTCCTGAAATACACTGTTGTTAAACTCTTCAAGTGAATCATTATTTTCAAAACACCTGAGGCCAAATTTTAACAGGATAACAGTTTTAACAGTAAACTTTTTAAACTTACAAATGTTGTAATTTTGCCCAGGGATCTCTGCTCCATTGAAGTGTTTGTCAGATTAGGGAATGTTACATAGGTAGTGGTGTAATGGTCTGGGATGACCAATAGCTACCACCGGTAGTACTTATGCTATAACCCTATGTTCATGTGTACGTATGTAAATAGTGAGGATCACTTGAGATCATAAGATGTATGTATGCCTACACTGACGTCAGTAAAAATTGTCAGATTCAATTTTGTATGTTAATAAATTTTCTTGACTGAACATTATTGTAACTTATTGTACATAGTCTTCATTATATCTAGTTTTATAGAATCAAATTACATGACAAAATGAAAAAAATTATGATAGACAAAATAAGCTATTCATTCAATAAAAGTTTTATTTATAACAGTGCATGCATTTTTGTTTTATGTGTACACTACAAACACCAGGATCCTTAAATTAACTCAATTAATTTTTTTTAAGTCAGTTAAGAGTAAGTTTAAAACAAAAACATTAAATAATAAATTCCTTTGGCATGATAACAAGAAGAATGCCATATAGTCGAGTGTCAGCTCTTACAATGAAGACGTTATCATTTAACCTTCCCTGGGTTTAATCCTTAATTTCTACCAGACCGTATAATTCATCAATTTCAAAGACAGATAACATGCTTGCTATCTTAATCAGTATTGACACTTTAATCTGTTTACATCTATCGTTTTCTGGTATCAACCCCTGCTAACAATACACTTTGTAATAACACAGTACAATTAAAGCTTCTTTAATAAAAACGCAGTACTTACCGATTTTTTTGTCTAGACCATAACTGCATAATGTAAACTGTGGTCTGTTCTAAATTTGACAAAGGGCAGCCTAGCAGTTGGCCAGTTGCAGAGCATTTATGGAATTCATGGATGAAATAAGTTATTTTATCTTATCTTTTTTGTTTGATCGACAGTTTGTTCTCCTAAAGGTGTATGGAAAACTTTGCGTGAACTTCTGACATATGGCGGCAAATTGAAAGTAGCTTTAGGCAAGTTCCCTAACTCGTTCGTTTATTTTGCTTAAGGGAATTAGAGTTACCTTTCTTATTACATGCATTTCTCTGGAGTTGTTTACCAAGGAGATGGGTGAACATAGCGTGCAGAAAGCCTATAGCTTCAGATAAATAAAATTCATGTTCAATTTGTGAAGTAAGTATTTAGAGTAAAGTTCTCATTATTTAAATTAATGAAACTATGATAAACAAAACTTTTCCGAGGCAAATTTTCTCGGTAAAATTTATTCTTTTATTAAAAATAAATGTGGTATTTGTGGGGTTCGAACCCTAGCAATAAAAACCCTAAGTATCATTTTCTTTCGAGACTAGCACGCTAACCACTAGACTACACAGGTCCTGATGAATAGTGGCATTTAAATCAGGTTTGTGATATGACCCGTGACTTTATGGACTAATTCAAGTATTTCTCGAAAAGATGCGAATGTTATGTCTTAAAAGTATATTTTTAAGGTAGAGTGGGTCTATGCTCCCAAAAACCCAAAAATGTATATTTTTATGCAAACTTTGAGGATTAACTTTCAAAAAAATGGAGCGAAGACCCACTCATATCAAAAAATAGTGTTATAGTATGAGAAAATGACTCTTTTTGCCCTCTTTAGTGTGTGAATAATATTTCATAGGCAAATAATTTCAATCTTTTAGAGATTTTTGCAAATTGTAGAGATTAAACATAAAGTATATTTTAATGTTGGATGAAATATCAAGGAAAATTTTTATATAATTGAGATTCATTTTCATCATTTTTTCATCTTCATGTTTGTCACACTATAGGCTTTTCGCTCGATATATATTCACCCATCTTCTTTACAGATAAAGGAAAATTAGCAGGGTCAGATTGATAAATTAAAAAAGAAACTTAAACTTCCATCATTAGATATTGTTGATAATACATTCAGCGTCTGTTTGAAAAATTTATATAAAAAATGTTAATTTGCAACTTCAGAACATTGAATTCTCTAAATGTGGTAAATTATTATTTTACAGTCAAATTAGAAAGAACTATGAGTTACAAGATTACTTGAATTTCCAATTAATAAACCTGTACGTTCTAAATTAACAAAACTGAGAATTTCTGCACACCCTTTAGAAATCGAAACAGGTAGATATTCAAAAGCCTTGTATCCCAAAAAATCTCGTTTTTGTCACTTTTGTAAAACTGTTGTAGAAAATGAAATACATTTCAGATCTGACTGTCCTACATATAAAGATTTACGAAAAAGTATTTTCCTTTGAACATCTGTAATTTAAATGATAACATGTTGAAGGAAAATCATTGTAAAGTATTTTGTAATCCTGACAATGCAGTTCATTCTAGAAGGCTATATATGTGAATTTTTATGAAAGTTTTGAATTGCGGTCTAAACTTATTTAATACATTATATAATCAATTCTTCTCTGTTCATATTATACTGGTTGCTAAATTATTATGTATAAACTTTAAGTTGAAAACATAGTTGACTTCACTTATGTATTTACTTTGGTATGTGTTTTAGTAATCTGATAACACATTGTACTTTTCATTCTGTATGTAACATGGTTGTATGCCAACATGTTTGGTGAATCAATAAATTGAATTGAAATTGATTAAGGACCCTCAAGGGGTAACAAAAAAATACATTGTACTTACTCGTACAGACCCGCAGAAGGCGGGGGGGGGGGGGGTGCCCTCCCATTTTTTCTGAGGAAAGTACTTTGCTATAGTAAATTATCATTTCGATGCTCCCCCCCCCCCCCACTTTTTGATGTTGTAATTCCAGTATTTAGGCAGTAAATAAGTTTTTTTCTATGGCTTGTCA